CCTTCACTTCATGTTGTACTTCGCAAATGAAGAATATGAGCATCAGCATCGGCCGTCCAATGTGAGCGAGGGGGCACGGTGGGCATCCTGGTCGGTAAGTTGCAGCTTAGTAGGGCGCTATAAGCGTACCTTCCTCGGAGAAGGCGCCGCAGCGTCTGCGCAGGGACTCGAATTCTGTCTTGTTGGGCGAATAATCTTACACGTCTCAAGGATCTATCGTTCCACTTGCCCTCAAGCGCCTAATGGGAAGATATTTATGTGGGTAGTGCTAAATATAAGACTCAACCTCCCTTATAGCTTCTCAAGAAATTTACACTCTAGTCAGTGAATCGTATGTGACTTCTTTGACTGACATCGGAACAGTAAAATCGTTATTCAAGCATATCACCACCAGCCATATTGTCAAACTTTGTGAAATAAAATAATTCGAAATGATTGTTTAGGTTTCTGGTGAACTATACTGAATGCAGTACCGTAACGGCTGTCGGAGTATCTTTGGATTACATGGTCAGGCAGAATGTGGATGTCGTCATTGGTCCTCCTTGTCCACCATGTACTATTCCATTATTATCTGTAGTGTTATCTGTGCATAAGGATACAGTGGTTGTCCCAGACGAGAGGGCGGTGAAGGGCGTGAATTCGAATGCAGCCGAGGTGTCCTTCGCAGCAGATGGTGCAGGCTTTGGTATTATAATTAGTGAAGAAGGTTCACCCTAGTTTCGATTCAGTCCATTCCCCCCCCCTGCACGCTTTCTCATTGCTTATAAAGACTGCACATAGGAAATAGTACATATGTCCTGCAGGGAGTATATACCCTACAGACCTTAGTGAAGATGATGACGCTATACCTTAGAGCTCACCCGTTCGATGAGCAAAACTTTACTTCAGTACGACTTCCTGAAATCCGGCGACTGTAGCTAACTAGAGGCAGAAAAGGTGCAAAAAATCATCAGGCCGAATACGGTACCCCTCGGTTTTGTGTAGTGTACTACTACTCCTCATCCGATTGAGGAAACCTGGGCGTACGCGCTTAAAGAGAGGGCGCGTGAGGGGCATGGAGTGGCCACCGAAGCTTTTCTAAAAACGGTTAAGCTCAGCATGCCATCAATTTGTGGGAAAGGCCGATCCGAACTGTGCTTGACGTTGGTATGTACATATTCAGATAGCAGAGCCCATCGTTGTTGGGGATCCCCAAGATGGGGGTCGTATTTGGTCGCACGGAGATGGGGTCATTTGGTTGCTGGGAGAGGGGGTGGGTCGTAAGAATAAGAAAGTTTTTTGATAGCTGATTTTTCTTGTATCAGGAGCCTCATAAGAGGGGGGTTTGTATTTCCCTCCTGACCTTCCGAGAGAGAAAAGGTTTGCTGACTATATTCATGGTCTTTCCTTTTTTACATGTGCTATTTACCTCCCACCCGCCGCTCGACATCTCGATGAGGAAGGAGCCTTGGGGTCCAAAAAAAGTGGGTCGCACAGACTTGACCAAAATCCCCCTAGCCCTGGTCAGACAGCCATGCGACGTCAGCGATCTATTCGAGCGTCTAGGGACCGAGTCGCATCTGCAGCATTATTTCACTTTCTCCGAGCAAAAGTGCACAGGAATGGGGTGGAGAGTAGAGATACCGTCTGCAATGTCCCCAGGCGGGGCCAGGCACATGCCACATGTTTTACCATAACAAAATGCTCGATTTTCTCCTACGCCCTCATTTCTGTTTTTTTCTACGCGCTACGTGGCGTGTTCGCGTACGCGAACTCTTGGTAATCGGCCGGCGAAATGCCGGTATTCGAGATAGCGTGGGAGGAGTATGAACTACATCATCATCAATACCGTCAATCCCCCTTCCTTTGTAGTTCTGGGTGGTACCCTGCTGCAGCTGCGAACCCATTCACCTCGCACATGTGTGTGTGTGTACAGATTGTCTTCACCCTTTACTATGTTAATATCAGCTGAAAAGAATTCACGCTGCGATCTTTCGCATGTGCAGTTGGTGAGCCTCGTTCAGTTGTAAGTGCTCCATTTTCGAGATAGCAGGTCCAATATACAGTGCTTCTTAGGCAAAAGGTTTATTGAAAATGGCAATGTTTGTTTAGCGGCAGAGATGACTGCTTACTTGTCAACGTTTTACGAGATGACAATGCTTGGATGGGGCTTCCTAATTGACTCCATATTCAGCGATAGCACTCGTTTTAAATATCTTATCAAAAATTAGCCGGATAGCGTATCAAGTGAGTGCAATTTAAACGAAATCAACTATTCGCAATATATGACATAGTTGAATTAACTTTATGTTTACCAAAGCTGCAAGGAGACTTCTTGCACACGGTTTTTTCATGACCAATTGGTCCATTCAGCTACTGTATATTCTGACTATTTTGATCTCATTCACAAGGAACGCATTTCCAGTCATTGCGACTAAATAAGTAGTGAATGATTCTGCAGCAACAGATGCCGTCGGCTGTGCTTCAAGCGTTGAGATATGTATAGGGGAGGGGGCCAAAAAAAGACACTTTGGCGGCCGATTTACATATGAGCAAAGTTTTCGCAAAGCCGAAGAACAGAGGACTGGATACGCAGGGCGGAATAATACCCAGGAATTCTCGATAGCCAGGTAAGGGCAGGAGCTGTCGTCCCATCACCATCCATGCCACAACAAAAATATGAAGTTAATCTCCAATCGTAGCCTGAGCTGGAAAAGCCATCCTGTGGAATTCACCTGTCACCCTCCAAACATACGAAACTTCTTGAATGAGTCACCACACGGATACCTGAGATGCAGTACTCTCGATTCGTAACGCATGCAGAGACGCTCGACGTGAGCAGCTCCCGAAAACGTTAACGGTCCTGGATATCATCTCACCGCAGTCACCAAGGCGCGAGCTGGTGGTATGGGCAGGAAGTTCCTGGGATGTGAAGACCGATATTTTCTTCGTACACCCCGGACTGAAGGTGAGTGCTGACGGTTACATCGAGCAACCTTGTGAGATATCGCTTCCCACGATGTTCGCCGCCCGATACGCTGCCTTGTAAACTTTGTACTGCTAGACAGGACTTGGGTGACAGACGCCCGCACGATCGAAGGGCCTTGGAAAAACTCTAAACCTTAGAATGGAAGGATGTTGAGTACCTGACGAAGACGGAAATATTGAGGTCTGTCATCTGACTTAGCCTCCTCAATTACCCGATTCGGGCGAAGCTCAACAGGGTGGTTACCGTGGTGAAAAAATCAACGATCTCACTGAACTCAGGCACCGAATCACGGTCGCGTAAGAGAATCTCTCGATGCCCCTTGTCCAGAAGGCTGAAGCAGATACAGCAAGCTGCTAAATATGGTGGTGGAAATGTCCCACATCAGAATTCAATCAGGTGAAACTTATAGCCCCCTGAAAGTTAAGGATAAATGTGCTTTTTGGCCCCCCCCCCCTGTACATTGAAGAAGTACATAGCAACGTAGCGTTTCGCCCCACACGATGCTACACCCTCAGGTGGAGAGCGGTTATTAAACCTTTCTGCAAGATGGCGAAGAACTGAGAGGGAACGACGTCCGATACGTACGAGGGCCACAGGGAGTAGTGACCGCAAGGTGGTACTGTCAAAAAAACCAAGAGTTAGTGCGTACTGGAACAGTTCCCTACTATCTACTTCTCCGGCAAGGAGTCTCTTCTCTCGAAGGCAAACTCCGCTATAGCACGTTGCAGATAATGGTCGTATGCAAATTTTAAAACCCGTGCTCAGATAATGGTGTTCAACTTAAACCCGTACGCGCTACGTGACTCTAGGAGGAAAAAAAGCAAAAAAGAAATCAGTAGTAGTACACCCCAAAGATCTTCTGTTGCCTCACTGTACGAGTTGTCTGGACCTGCTCGTTTTATGTCAGTAAAGTGATATCCTGCCGAATCCGGCTCTAATCATTTCTTCACGTTCCCAGTGGTAATACCCTCTAACAAAGGAAAAAAAACGAAAAACGTAGTGTAAAAGCTGAAGTCGTGACACAAAACGGCCTTTATGTTACGGTGGGCGGGACAATTACCAACCCGTCAGAACTGTCACTTATGAACGCTTCCGTTACTTGCTGTGGAGCCGCCAAAGTGGGACAATCTTAGAGACTAAGGACAGGACTACTTGTACAACGAAGGACGCTTAGGAATTTATTGAGCGCGAGAACTGTCATCAAGCTCTTAGCTTAATTCCAGGATGATGACTGCCCTGTTGCCGATGTTCACGATGTTTGAATGGAACCGTGTTGCAATTTACTACACTCCTAATGAAGTACAGTTCTGCGATACAATGGTCGACGATACAGTAGTGAGTGTTAACTTATAATAAGAAGTAGAGCGTTAACTCATAATGCGAACCAGCATACTCCCGTATTTTACCTTTCCAGACAGCATTCAGTGACGACTCTTCGTACGTGGTTGAGATTGTGCAGAAAGTTGCATGGAATGGTCAAGATAGTGACTACTTAACAGATCAGCTACTTCGCACCAAACGATCTGCTAGAAGTGGGTGGTTATCACAGCACCGTTTTTGGTGATGCAAGGGTGGAGCCACAAGAAATGAGGTTCTTAAAGGCAGTTGGCACGACAATTTGGTACTCGGCCTAAAATGCTAGCAGGGCGCTATATAGTGGGGAAAATGGCGAAAGAACGGAGTGAAACGGTCAAAATCCTGCGAAGAAAAAGCCTCGTTCTCAATGACTTGAAAATCAATTTCGGACGAGTTTCCCGTAGGCATCTTGCCAATAACCGCTACCGAAGGTACGGCTGCATATGTGTACTCATATATCCATGCAGCATCACGGCCGCTTCATACCAATCCCTTCGCTTCATAATTTGCTTAGCAAATGAATCGATTAGAGCGTCAGGAACGGTCGTCCATTTGTGGGCGGGCGGGCGTGGCGGGCGTTTGGGTCGGTATGTTGTGGCTTGATAGGGCCCTTATAAGGGCACCTCCCTTGGGAAAGGCATTATGCAGCGCCTGCTAGGGACGCCGCGGAATTCCGTCCTGCCAGGCGAAACCTACTCGATCGTGGGGAATTATATCGGGCACAGACTGCCTATTACACACCCGCAGCGACTCTCACTCATGAGAGCAGAGTGCTTGCGTTTCAAATAATTATGGTAGTATCGGGTCATACAGTATAATAAACAAGAGGGGAATTATCAGTATGTGAGCAAAAGCGGAAAAAAGTCATGGGAAAGGACCCTAATATAAAGACCCCATGGCGAAATGAAGTTCGTACACTTGTAATTGACATCGCAAACAGTCAAGGGCGGTGAGCTCGAGCAGCGGCATGAACTACTCGCGCCTGCCTCTACCATTGTGAGTGTACGTGATGTTTCTATGAAGGCAGACAACCAGTGTAGAAAGGCTGTAGGTGGGACTGGATCAATGGTTGTGTCAGAACTCATTACGAACGCTGGTGCGGTGAGTATAAACTGTAGTGCGTAATTGCGAAGAAAGGCGACGGTCGCGGCGAGTCTCACCGTGTATGTGCCGCCTTTTCTCCTGGTCCACCACTCTCGACCTTTCGAGCAGGGGAGAGACGAGACGAATGATCACGAAACCAATAGGAATGGAGTTGGGCGTTGCGGCAGTCATGGGGCGGGGCGGCGACTCATTCACGAGTAGGTGGCACATTCTTATCGTTTCCCTGAGCAACAAAATAACTACATCGTCCATCCTTGTAGGAGAAGCTACCATATCCAAAGAAAACGTGAAAACATCGAACGAACGCGGGCTCTGCCTTCGACCCACCTCTGTTGTGTTGAAACCTGTAAAAAATTCTTGAAGAAAATGCGCTCTTACTGTAGTTGAGCTCCTTCTGCTCGGCAATTAGTTTTGGCCGAGCATATGAAGAAAACTAGGAGAAGGTCAAGCGAGGGAGTAGGTACAAGGAATGAGAAGACGGAAAGCCGAGCGAAACGGTTGGCCCTAACTTGAGCGGCCCCCTCAACAATAAGCGCAAAAGGTCCACACCTGGATAAAGCGCTAACTGACCTGTGGAGTTACTACTACAAAAGGCGATCCTATCCCTCTCAAAGCTGGCTTTCGAGTGGTACAAGTGGTGCAAAATGGAGCAACGTTTGCAAGGTTAGTCAAAACGTAACAGTGGGATGTTTCTTCACATAGATGTGAACCGAGGAGCCAAAGAGAGATGAATCTGTATTCAATTGCAGTAATTATTGTCTGCATGGACACAGCACAAACTCGGCGCGGATTTATGAAGAAGGTCTCGCTTATGGATATGATTTCGGAGGAATATGTGTACGTGATGTTAGGTGTGCGCGGCCTTGGATTCGGTATGATTTTTTTTCTGTGTTTTTCTCTTCCACAATGAAACTACACCTTCAGGTCAGGCAGCGAAGGGATATACTGAACGTGAGTGCTTCAGTGATTCAAAGTTGGGCACTATTGAACCATTCCTACCCCAAAAACTAAATAAAAAAATTTTCGCTGAAACGTTGCCTATAGATGTAATTCGATGTCCTGATCACGAATATCACATTCGTTTCAAGCGCTGGCGTCTGGCGCCATTATGCGCCAATTTGGCGCCCACCACTTTTTTCACCAAAGTCGATGAAAACTTGCATATGGGGGTTACTTGAGGTCCTGATTACGAATCCGACATTTATTTTTGGCGTTGGCGCCATTTGGCGCCATTACGCGCCAATTTGGCGCCATATTGGCGCATAATGGCGCCAAATGGCGCCAGCGTTTGAAACCAGTGTGATATTCGTAATCAGGATGTCGATTAACCCCCATATGCAAGTTTTCATCAACTGAAAAAAAGTGGTGGGCGCCAAATTGGCGCATAATGGCGCCAAATGTCGCCAGCGCTCGAAACGGATGTGATATTCATGATCAGGGCATCGTAGTACATCTATAGGCAACGTTTCAGCGACAAAAATTTTTTTGAGTTTTTGGGGTAGGAATCCACCACTTTTTTCACCAAAGTCGATGAAAACTTGCATATGGGGGTTACTTGAGGTCCTGATTACGAATCCGACATTGATTTTTTCGACAATAGTGCCCAAAGTTGCTGTCAAAAAATTATCCACCTTGTTCAGAAAAGAGATCCATTAACACGTTGACGACGAGCCGTTTTTTTTCATGAATTGCCCGTGGGACGGCACGTTTTTCTTCGTAGAAACTTAGTAATTTTTGAATAAATGAATGGCTACGGTCAAAGTGTTTCAAGAAATGCAAGATACGAGTATACGAATCTCGAATCTTTGACACAATTTAGCTTTTATTGCTCCAATCTTCCAAAACCAGGCCATTTTTACCAACTTCTTCCTCTGGAGGCAGATTTGACAGTTTGTCTGCCGGGGTAGTTTGACCTCCTAAAGATCATTATCGCATCCCTTGGCCCGAGAATGTTTGTTCTTGAAATAATTTTATGAAAAGAAAATGAAACAATTGCGCAGATTTTGAGTTATATAATAACTGCCGGATAGCACTGGGTCGCGCCATTTCACAAGACAAACTGACTAAGAGACAAACCGTTCACCATTGACGAAAATCGTCGTCAACGCGTTAAGTGGATATGATATTCTTGTTCAGGGGGTCGAACTACCCCTAGGGACAAATTTTCAGCTAATTTGGTGAGGTATTTTGGCGCCGGCGG